TGCTTAGAAAGAGATTCGCCCAAGTAAAAAAAATTCCGGCAATGTGTGATGTTTGTACTCGGATTTTAGAAATCAATCAATTAAAGAGCTCAAATAAACAATAGGTCGTGTTAGTGTCAAAAACTTTTCTTAAATGAAAGCTTTCAAAGAACGACCGTCCCACGGGCAATGAATTATGGCTTAGTGGTAAACCCACTGACACATGTAATTTTTAAAAATTCTTTGGCCTAAAAAAAACTGGCTAAGAAAAAGGCAATGCAATGGTTTTGGTTTGTGTGTTGGATAACACGTGAACGCCCAGAAAGGGTAATCACGGGTTCGAAGGTGGTCTCAGGTTCGAGTTTTGTAAATATCTCAGCATCATGGCAGGCTGTTTTTCACATGACACCATGCTATGGAAAATTAGTAGGCAGCAAAGAAGAAGTTAGACATAGTCCCTGGCAAAGTATTTTAAAATCATCTTTAATTTAACGTTGGCATGAATAATCGGTATTTTTCTGTATTCATGATCTTACATAAGATTGTTATCAATTTTTTTACTGTGTTTAGTGCCTCCCTACCTTTGCCTTCTTCGGGGGCTATGGAATACATGAGTGGTATAAGGGCGTGGATATAGAAGTATTGACAGCCATCTTATGATACAGAATGATTTCTAAAATGACAGAATCGTTCTTCTGGGGGTACCACGGAAACAAAACGAAAATGACGCTGGTCAAATATAGCCGCTTTGCTCCACCTGTTTTTTCTAACAGAGTAAGAGTCGTCAATATGGTCGTCATTAGCGTGCTCGGCTTCTGATGCTAAGGTTGTAGAAGCTCTCCCCGATGAGTTGATGCTCCGTTTCGCTCAACTTCAACCGATTCCTTATCGTTCTTTACTTGGTCCTCATAACGTCCCAAATGTTTTTTCGACTGAAAAGTGTCTTTGCAGGCGTACTTATGTGGTTTTGTTGAATTATAATCTCATTTTGAAGTGTTTCTGAACATTTTTGTAACCTCGTTCTTTATTTTTTATAGAATTTCCCAGCACTTAGTCTATTTACAAATGCTTGCTTTTAGTGTACAGAGATCTCCGTTTAAAAATACGCTGTTCATACTTCGTTACTACTTCAGAAGACAGCACTCCTAGTCCTAAACAGTTCTTCACTTCTCCTTTTCGCTTTTTTTCAAAGTTTTTCTTTGGATACAACGCCATTTGTCTTAATGACACATTAAAAATGTTTTTCTCTTAGATATGGTGAATTTTTCCCATGTTTGTTTGACAGAACGACAACAAATGATGAATGGCACGCCGCTTGAATACAATCTTCAGAGGTGAGTAACGGCTACTCCCGCCCTCCCTCGAGGGCTGTTGCTCTTTGGCCCCGTTTTGACAGCAGTGTTGATTCGTGGATTGTGCCATGTTCAATTGCGTCAGATCTTTCAAGAGTGCAGTTCTTCTATTGTCACAATGAAACTGCTTTTTGGTCATAAGTCATTTTCAATCACCCTGAGAATATGTGACACCTTATAGTTGCTGAGAATATCCCTAAGAACTGCGATGTAGTTCTGAGAGCTTTTCAAGGTGCCCCAGGTTAAGAACTTCGCTGTTTCCATCTAGAAGCTCGATTTAAACTAAATAAATACCAGGAATAACTGCCATCCCGACAACAATATAGTAACATGGTGGCAAGTGAAGATGATCTCCTAGAGTTCTAGCGCAACTTTCGAGTATCCAAGAGAAAAGAAAAAAGATTATTGAAGCAGGAAATCGTGAGCTCCATTCTATGTCTGTCGTTAATTTTCGTTTTGTTATCAATAGATAGTTTTTGACCTTAATAGGAAGGTTTGATGCCATCTATCTTGCAATAGTGATTCCATGTGTTGGTCCTGCCTGGGTTATCAGATGGAACTGTCTAACGAATCCGCTTGAGTGAACACGCCAGATGAACTTAAACAAATAAAGAGAAATCTCTTAGTTACAGTGAACCCAAAAGTTTTTTTAAACGTAAAAATTTTTTAAAAACGATAATGCGTTGGAAGGTTTTATTCCTTAAAAAGTGTCCTCCAAAACACTTTTTGGGCGTTTCTCGTTTCGGAGGCGTTTTCCACAAATGGCATTAAAATTCCAATTAAATGAATTGAAATGTTTCTGGAGTCATCGAAAGTGCAATAGAAAACTAATTTTAGAATTTGAAAGAAAGTTTGGAAGACAAAGAAGCTTTATTCTTACTTGAAGAGCGAGTATAAAACCGTCTCAAGCTTAAAGAGCCCATGTCAGGCCCGCCAGGCTTGTGGTTGCGTACTGCCTGCCTCAGTCAAAAATAATATCGTCTTAAGAGAGATAATGGCACTTTTTCAAAAAATTCTCCCTTATTTTTTCAAATGTTTTTTTCTACGAAATGCGTAGATACCTCATTACTATCCAATAAAAAAATATTACAGTATAAAAAGTTAATAACTCTTCATGTGTTGAGATTTTTACTCATTGAGAAGTGTTATGTAATTACTTTAAAGCTGTAAAATTACAAAAAAAACCGCAATAAAAACTGTTTGCATTAAAAGCATTGAATTCATGATGGTGGAATACCACTCCTTTGTAAAATTTCGATTTAAGTAATAGAAAGGGAACCGAAGCTGGTAGAAACTAAACGAAGTGTTTATCATTCCTTGGAGTTCACTCACCCTTAACATTAGGTTGCTAGAAAGAGCGTTGTTGGTGATTCCATTCGAATTTGATAAACTATGAAAATTAGATAAACCATAACGATAGGACAAATTTGTAGGAGGTTCAACTAGAAGAAGCCTCAAGAGAGAGATAGACTTTTTTTTAGAAAAATCATGCTGATTAATGACGACTTTCCTAATAAATATACTTACTTGGATACTTGGACGCCCCGTCCTCACTAGTTGTGAGAACCCTGGCATAATCTTTATTTTTCCGGGTTTTTCTGGTTTAGCCATTGTTTCTCTGGAGTCCTGAGGTCAGCCTAGCCAAAGTCTGTCCCAGGTCGTCACCACCACAGTCGCAGGCCTTGTGGATCAGAGAGAGATTTTTCACCATACGACTTGTTTGATACCAGAACGATGGTGGATCCTGGTATCGATTTAGTATTTCGAAACCGACCTTCCCTAAACCTCGGTGTGACAAATCAATATGTATTCTTTCTTGATAAGCTTGCACGAGGTTGATAAATATATTTATTTTCGGCTAACGTTTCGACGTCTTCGTCTTCCTCAGAGCCGGTGATCCGAGTCGATGGTCCATGCTTGTTGTTCGCCTCGACGTTGCGTCTTCGCCTTCCTGTCGAGCCAGATCTTCCTCAGCGAGCCATCTTCTCGAATGAGGCATCCTCACTCAGTGATGCCCTTTTATACACGATGCTGATGGTAGATATATAATGACAATGTCCGGTGGTAACAATTTGTATTTCTTCCGGACATACATCATTGCGCACATCGTGCAGAGGTGTGCGGCTCTGAGGAAGACGAAGACGTCGAAACGTTAGCCGAAAATAAATATATTTATCAACCTCGTGCAAGCTTATCAAGAAAGAATACATATCGATTTAGTCTTTTCTAGGCTTTTTGATAAAAAAGCCAGACTCATACTCAGATTGGGACATCCTTCCGAGGAAACGATTCCCCCCGCTATACATCGCAGCCCCATACCCAGGAACACCTCCCAGCCACGATTAGACGGTAAACCGCTGGAAGAAACAAATAAATATACATGCAGATATTCTCATTTTGTAATTTCCAAAAGTTGCAGACAGATCTATTAATAAGGAGGTCTTCTTATTTCACTCTTTTCACACAGGTTTCTTTCTAGCAATCGATTTTTATTGAATGTACTTTATCGAGAATGTCAGATTAACATATGAAGGCCCACTTGCGACGTATGTATATCTTACTTGTTGCAACTTTCAACTAAACAGTATCAAAAACTCTTTAATAACTCTTATCTTAATTATATCTTTTGGTAAAAGATCTCTGTATTTCCATCGCAAAGAAAATCGATGAGTTCGAAAAGCAATAAACATGGAACAGACATCGGTTGGCTTCATTACATTCCGACTGATGTGGGTAGATTCTGAAGAATTTAATCACATACTTTCCTTCTAGATATTTTTTTGTAACCAACGTTGTAACAAAGGAATCATCACTTCCCAGTAGTTCACCACCATGATAGCTCATGGGATATGTTCTTAGGTGCTAAATGTTGAAGCGCAGGTGCAATATGCAGCGTAAATTGACGCTGTAAGATCTCCCAAGTCCAGAAGGGATTTGATTTTTCCTTCCAAAAGCCTTTTCAAGGGCGATTCTATGCAACAGTAGTCACAAACTTAGTAGCTAGTTAGTTACCTAGTCACCATGGGACAAAACTTCCAGGGATCCGCAATCTGTAACAACCGACTGCGATGACATGGGAATGCCCAAGAATTGCTACTTTAAAACTAAAGGAAAAAAATCTCTCCCGGAAAGCAAAGCGTTAGTGGCAAAGTAGAAACTGTGCTGCCTTTCGTGACTTGATTCTTTGTGAAGACAGACTACTTAAACTTTTTTTTGAAGAATGTTTACCAAGGAGAAGCCACTGCTTGCGCGTTTATGGTCGCCGGTTCGATCTGTTCCCAAACCTCCACTTACCCATTCATGGCAATAGCTGAATTTTTATGATATGAATCTTATCAGCTAGTCGGACATTATTTGCGATGCTATTACACATGAAAAAATCATGTTAGATAAATTGGCCACTGAGGAGAACTTGTTTTAAACTTCACAGTCCTTGTAGGAGTCGATCAAGACATCGTGATGACGATTAACATATTTTCAAATGAAACACAACATTAGGTAATATTTCGTCGCAAAAACTGAATTGCCAACTTTGTTAGTCTGTTATATTTCTAGGCACCACAAGTATCACCTTGAAACAAAAGAAAGACTTATTTTGAAAAGGCATAATAATATCTACGCATGAGCTCATGATGGTCTTAACGATCGTGTACCGTCAATTTTTCACAGTTGTTCAATAATTTTCATTATTTAAGATATGTCTACCCAGCGATTGCCGTTTTCGGAATTTTGGGTAACGTACTCAATCTAAGTGTTTTGCTCAATCGAAGCATGCGAACACGGTAAGCCATTGCAGCTTTTCTAGACCACTTTCCATCTTCGATGCCTTCAAGCGTTTTTTGTTTCATCGATATTTTTCTTGTAAATTTCTTAGTTCATGAGTAAAATCGTAGTTTCAAATAGCCTTTGTATTTTCTTTTCCATGAAGTTTGTGGAATTGGTAAAAAGTGCATGGAATAAAGGAAATTTACCGATTCTACACCTTTTTTGAAATCCGAAACTTCTTCCTTGCAATTTTTTTCGTTTATTCCCCTTCGCTTCGTATTTCTCAATAGCTCATAAACCGTTCCTATGGGTATTTCAGGGACCATCACATTATTTTCAAGCATTAACTTAAATTGTTTTCACAATGTTTAATTGTTATTTTCCGTCAACTACAATTTTCACGGCAGAGTATTATGCGAAATACAATCACAGCTATGCTGGGATATTTATAAAACTCCGGAACGCGGATGTCTGCGATGGGGAACGAACGCGCCATTACCCTTTCTGGGAGCTAACGCGTTCACTACCACGCCATGCAGGTCCTTCGTTTCGCCCGTCTCTCAGATAGTTTTATCGATCAGTGCCATCAGCAATCACTCATCAATGGGAGATTTGGGGAGCCCACATCGACGCTGAACCCAGTTAAGATGAGACTACAGTTGAAATCACGATGTTTACTTTTTATTTTATGCCTGCTACAATTTTTACGGCGGGGTATTATACGAAGTACAACCACAACGGTACTGAGATATTTGTAAAACTCCGGACCGTAGGTGTGAGGAACGAGCGCGCTATTACTCTTTCCACGGCTAACGCGTTCACCACCACACAGTGCGGATCCTTCGTTCTTGTCACTCAGCTTCTAAATTGTTTTACTTTTGTGTAAATATTCGTTGCGTGTAGTGCCATTATCGATTGTCTTATCGAAACACAATAGAAGGAAAGCGATGAAAAAGAAAATTGTTGGTATGACCCGGGAAAAAGTTTTTGGAGCCTTTTGTGTTTTTTATCAAATAACCTCTGCGATTATATGTTTGCTTTAGTCATCAACACTTAGGGATCAGTCCCAACAACAGTATTATCCGAGTTAAAAAGTAGTTCGACGTTCGCTCTTATTCGAGCTTCCAGCAACAAGTTAATGAAAGTCTTGAATTTCTGCTTACTTGAGAGAAATTTATCATGGCTTAAAGCGACGGGTAACAAACGCGATGCCTTCATGCAACCCTAATCCAGGCCAATCATGCCTTCAATCTTTTTGTGGTCGGAAAATTGGAAATTGGTAGCAGATGTGTTTGGAAACCTCTCTCCGATCCACAAAGGCCGGCGACTATCTGTCGTAAAGACTGTGAGCATAGTAGGCACCAATTCCAGGGTTCCAGAAACAACCGACTCAGGCATCACTCAACGACATTGATAAAAAGAACAAAATCCTCAAGTACCAGCCGAATGCGCTCTCAATTTCTAAGATCTTAGTGGATAATGGATGCGAGACAACGAACGAGTGGAATGAAAAATGGCTGGGATCTGCACAACTTTGCTTAATTGTAGTATTAGATTGCATGCAATGACAACGTCGGAACGCACTACCATATTATCAATTTCCAAGGTTAAGAAACAAGAAAAAATTTGGATGATCAGGGAAGTATTGCCAGATGGCCCGCACAGATGTACGAAATAAAAACCAGTTGCTCAAATATCTTGGAAAACATTACCGAATTTAGCAAGTTAATAGCAAATTTTTTAGGTATTTGCATTTTGTGCAACCTCTGTAAAGGTATAAAGAATGGACCGTCGGAGTTGATCAATCTCCGAGGGGTGCTCCATGTGTTGGGCACCATTAAGCACCGTTAAATCGATTGAGTGCATATTTTTTTATAGAAAAAATGTGGTAGTTTACTGAGTTTTTATAACAATGTTTATTTCTCTCTCAATCGGAATACAGAGCTTGGTTTGCAAAAGAAGCAGAATCGAACCATAGACCCAGTGTGTTTTGTAAGGCACCGCCAATTATTTGGCTACACGAGTTCCGAGCATCAATGTACCACCTTTAATTGATGCTTATTAGCTAATCAAACGATCAAAAGTGATGTGGTTTATAGAATCACTAAGTGATTAGGTAGTTATAAAAATGCCTTTCCGTTCGTAATGTCGGAATGCGGTTTTGGTCATTTTCCTCTAAATAGGGAAACATGGTTTTTCGTGAGATGGATGTTCTATCACGACGATTGGAGGAATAAAAACTGCGTGTTCACAATCAGTTCAATTTGTCGGATGTCAAACGTCTTATTGGTGATGTCAAATGTGGAAATTCCTTGAGAAGGAAACCCGATTGGAGGTGACAAATGAAGCTGGGGCATTCCGCTTGTGAAGCGCGACATCATCTAGGGATTTTAAAGCCAGAAACCAGTAGTGGATATAACTGTTTCAATTAAACCCTATGCAATGATGAAAGAATGGCCTCACGCAGACTAAAAATATTTCATTGGCTTCGGTGAAACGAGAAAAAGACAATGCCGTGAGTGTTTTTTATAGTTTAGCTATGCTTTTATTCTTTCTATAGTCATGCTGTCGTTAAAATCCAAAAAAAATTAAACTTGAGCAAATCGTTTTCGTAAGGAAGTTGTTTTAACCAGTATTTTTTTTCTCATTTTAGGCCCAACACCTTTCTTGCCGTGTTAGCTTTCGCCGACATTATTTTTCTATCATTACTATTTCCAAATATTCTCGCTAACTATTCGTTCTTCACCTTCAACTACTACTTTCGATATTTCTACTTTCATACGAAGGTACATCTGATCTCCATGGCAAACTGGTGTTCAGCTGTGGCTATATGGTAAGTCGGCTTCTTGGTACACTGGTTTTCTAGAGGTCAGAGACATCTATTGAAGCTCTAGGTGGTGCCTTTACGCAGATACGTTACTCTAATTCATGGAAGGAACGAAAATTAATGATTTTTTTTAACAACTGCACCTATGATCAAATCCTTTGCATAGCAACATATATTCTTTCTTTGATAAGCGCACACGAGGTTGATAAACAATTTTATTTGGCTAACGGTTCGACGTCTCCGTCTTCATCAGAGCCCGTGATCTGAGTACGTAGTCCACGGCTCTTCGTTTCGATGTGGCGTCTTCGTCTTCCTATCGAGTTGTGTCTTTCTCAGCGGACCATTTCCAATGAGGCATACTCACTCGGGGATTCCCTTTTAAGCAGGATGCTGATGGTTGATAGTAGTGTTCGAAACAGACTTTACTTTAACCTCGGTATTACTAATCAACATTTATTCTTATAGACTTTACATAGTAATGAGTAACGATTAATGAGCTATTTTTCTTCGATAAGCAAACATGAGGCTGGTATTACAGAATTGCTTAGCATACAGTAGCTGACGTTTCGGCGCTTTCACCTTCTTCATAACCCGGAAAGGTCAAATTGAGGACCAAAGAAAGAGAGTGAATTGTCAATCATTGCCATGATTAATAGAAAGTCAGTGTTGGAGATTAATGAGCTGTTTACACTTCCAGCTGAAGTCAAACTACGAGAAATTTGAGTAAGAGTTGACTTAAGAGCTCAAAAAAAACATATTCTTCATTTCACCCCTAAAAGCATTTATTTGGGCACTATGAGATGAAACGAAGTCCCTAAGATAACTTCTATTTCACAGTCATTGTGGCTTCGACGGTTTTAGTATGGAAGAGATTCTATTTGCATACATTTTCTTCAGCCAAGTACTTTCATAGACTTTATGAAGAAGAACATAAATAAGCAGCTTCTTTAGGAATAAATCGTTTTAGAGTCTACTTGGACAGTATGGGAGCCATCCGTGAAAATTTCATATGAAATGAGGAATGTTTCTGTCTTTGTTAGAAAATTATCCCGAATTCACGTGTGGTTATGCGAGATTCTTTCTACTATTCATCCTAGGATTTCTGAAGAGGGTCCAAAACGTATCAAGAGTTCCTGCACTTGTGTTTCAGATTTTAGGGTAACGATGATAATTTTAACTTTAATATTTTCTTCATAATGATCTTGTGCTCTCTGTGTGCTCCGTGAACTAAACCAACCTTTAAAATTTTCTAGTTGTATGTCTACTTCTTTCATACATTTCTTAAGCCTGAAGACTTTCCATGAGACCACCACAGATCGTACCCAAATTCATGCAATCGGCTGCTTAACACGAAAGGATTGGGTTGGGTACTGTGTATTGAAATCTTAAAGAACAGTAGTATGAGAGAGTTTAGCACTATTTGATGGACTTACATCTTCGATTACCAGTGCTATTGGAAGGAACTTTCAACATGGTTCATTGTAACTCGGCTGGTAATTGACATTTTCTTTCATCATTTCTGAAAATAACTCGGTTTATTCGATCGAAGAATCGAGTAATCAATAGCGTTTTTCCAACTCCGATTACTCTGGATTATTATGTAGAACGACGTTCGAAAGCGATTGTTCAGGCGACGATAGACGTTTGTCAGACGACGTATTTAATGCTCAATTAAGCCCGCCCAAAAATTCGAAGATGATTTTGTTTTTCGACGCGTTGTTTCCATTTTCATTTGTCATCTGAACTGAACTGCATAAGCAGTTGCAAAAACTGCGAGGATCCATAAATGTGAACTTGTAAATTTTCGCCTTTGAAGGAACCGTAAGCATTCATGGCTTTCTTGAAGTCTTTCTTTGAGACAAAGACAAAATGATTAGGTAGTGTGGAATTCTGTTTCTTTTTCTTCCGGCCGATCCGTTAGATTCATTCATGCCCATACTTACTTGGATATTTGGGTGGCCCGTCCTCACTGGAATGCGGGTCCAGAATATTCCTCATTGAGGAGTTTTGCTGGTTTAGCCACTGTGGTTCCCTATAGTCCCGAGATCAGTCAGGCTAAATCTGCCCCGGGTTGTCATAAGCATAGGAAATCACTGACCTTGTGGATCAAATGGAGATTTGCCACCATGCGACTTTAATACCAGAAAGGTGGTGGAAACTAGCATTGGTTTACTCTTAGCTAGGCTTTCTGATGGAAACGCCGGACTCCTTCCCAGCTTGGGAGACCCTGCGGGAGACGAATCTCCCGTTGTACATCGCAGTGCGACATCCAGGAACACCTCCCAGCCACGGTGAGGCGGTAAACCATTGGGAGGCATTCGTGCCCATAGACTTTAGAGTCACAGTGTGCTTTTTTTCTTCATTCATGGTTCCAAATGCTTCTGAAATATACTGCACCTAGCCTTTTTTCTAACAACTGAAGAAATTTATACTCTTTCCACAGTTCGCTCCATACTATAAGAAGAAGAGAGAAAGATCTTTTTTAAAAAAGTACAAGCAAAGCAGTTGTCGAGTTTTCAGTGTATCCGCAAACAAGCCCACTGTTCTTGGAGAATTTTCACCTGTTTTTGTTTGACCGTAAAATTTCCTCAGGTTTTATATCATGGCTCCTATGAAATCTTCACTCCTCGTAGGACAAAACTGGCGACAACATGTTTGTCAATTTGATCCCAAAAAATTTTTTCATGCGGGGTTAAGATCAAAAGCCACCGAAGGGCATTGCATCCTGAATATGAAGTTTGAGAGAAGGGAAGGGAAAAGTGCACAAGAGGGGTTGAGAGAAAGAGAAAAGAGAAAGAGAAGGGAGAGAGATGTTGTAGCATTTCAACCGAAAGGTGACATATTTTAATCAAACCAGTGGGTATATATTACCACTAGGGTTCTGTTTAAATAAAAAGGCGTACGTATGGTTTGATCTACATCCGAGGCGTAATCCATGTGTGTCGCCTTCTAATACTACAACTCCATAAAGCTGCCAGAGAGTGAAAACCTTCAGATACTCTCCCACAAATGATAATGGTTAAGAAAAATCTAAAATCTAAAGGATTCAAAAATTCACTTGCAGTTCAATGACGTTTCATGAATCGACCAGGTAAAAGAAAGACAGCAAACGAGATATCCTAAGCCGACACTTAATGATTGCAGGTGTGTGATAGCAGTGTGTGCGGATCGCCTTGCTGGGATCCGGGATCCGCTCTACGCTCGATCGGCATGGTCGTGGTGGTGAGTGTTTTCTTGCTTTTCGTTGACACCAATTCGGTTAGATGAACGTTATACCGTAACGTACCGTACAGAATTAGGAAAGGCAACCTTTCACTGCAAGACGCTATTTCCGCTGTTGAAATGTCCCTTGTCAAGGGCTTCAGTGGTTACTAGGTTCTAGTTGTAGCAGACGTTTTTCCTGTGACAGTGATCTAAACACTGAAGCGCCTAAATGTCTGAGACAATCATTATAAAGGTAAAGCACTCAAGAAAACAATTCTTAAAGTGAATATTTTGCTAAGAAGGACAAAGTAGCATGGATGTATGTTGCATAGTTTAGGTTATTTATTCAATATTGTGACACAGTTTAATCAAAAGAATGCCAAGAAAAAAAATTTATGAGTATAGACGAATTCCTGAACAAGAAAGACCTTGCTTCTACTTCAACGAGTGTCACCAAATTGAAAGTATGCTCGAATAGAAATATGTTGAACCCATGCCGATTTCTTGATGAAGTTTCAACTTCACGGCATTATGTGGTTTGTACAGTCATGGTTTTCCTGCAAAACTAGAAATGTACTTACATGAAATTGATATGTGATGCTTATTCGGCTAATATTCGACGTCTTCCTCCTAAACAGTGCCAGAATGCCAGAATCGTCAAGGATCTTCGGCTCTGATAAAAACGAAGAAAAAACGTTAGCCGAATACACATATCAATCTCGTGTAAGCTCAACAATATAAACAGATATTGATTATTATAGTACCGAAGTGACGTTCGGTTTTAAAAGCATATAGAAATGTACTATTTGTTTTTCTGTAGCCTTCTACATCTTTCATGAAATCAATATAATCAGCGAGAACGGAAGTTTTCCAAACGAATTTTACAGGAGGTTGCCTATCGTGATTGTTACTGTTGTGGCAGTTGCCGGTGGGCTTACATTCTATCAAAACTTTGAGTATTACTGTCTGGTCAGATCGTACTGCCGTGAGACACAACTCTATTCTAGGTGTCTGCCTATTTACAGCGAGTAAGCACTTTCCAATTTACTTTTTGGGTTTTATCATTTTTCTTCAAGTTGTGTCATTTCCTATGTAACAAATGGAAGGGTTATTAGGGCTCAATAAAAGGTAAGATATTGAAGAGTTGAGAAATTATTCGATGTTGCGAAAGCAAGCTTTAAAAATTTTGGGGTTAGCTTCTCACTGAAGCTTTAACATTAGTGAAGCAAGGTGAGCCCTCGATGTTTGTCGCTGCTTCACCATTGTTGGAAGGCATTCTTTCGATACTGCAATATAGAAAAAAGGTTCCATTTCTCGTCGAGGACACCCATGCCAGGGAGGAATTCGGCTGAGTCGACTTCTTAGAAACTCAGCTAATGGTAAACCTCTGCCACAGCATAGGATACGTGGCCACCTATCCATACTTACGTTCCGACGAAGGTGACCAAAAATTAATGGCTTCAGATACGAAGTGCTGACCCTTACGCTTTCGTCAAGCGAAGAAACGAAAATTTCTGAGCTTATTCCACAGCTGTTGGTAGTCTGAGCACGCTTTTTTAGGTTGACTTACTTCTTTATATTCAAAGTACTGATTCATGCGGTTGAGTTGTTTTTGCAATAAGAAAGACTAGGCAACGAATAGCAATGAAAGTGAAGAGTGAAAGGTAACTAACTGAAAGGCGCGAGTGTTAGCATTTTGTATTAGTGGTTCGACGGAGCAGGAACAGCTTTGTCATGTTTCATCGAAATGATTCGGACCACAGGGACCCCACGAAAGAATTCTCTATTGCTTTGGTAGGTAATCCTTTTCAAAATTTCCTTTGCTGTCCGTTGACTTTTAGAATTATATATCGGCCATTTGAAAAGAGTGGAACCGACAACGAATATCAAAATTACGCACTGCGCCACAGAAGCCTTTGCACTGAGTTCCTCTCAGCTACTCTTCTATCTACCAGTGCCATCAGCAATCACCCGTCAACGGGATTGATCTGAGGAACCTACATCGGCATTGAACCGAGTTAAGCTGAGGCTCCAATCGAAATCACAATCACAAGTGATGGCACTGGTCGATAAAAAACTACCTGAGAAAAATGCAGAGTATGGACGTCGGTGGCACAATGTGTAATGCGCGAGCTCCCGGAGAGGGAAATCGTGATTCGTTCTGGCCAAGAGTCCAAGTTTTGCGAATATCTCAGCATCGTTATAGCATCAACAATATCAAAATTATTGGCAAGGAACTAACAAATAGACCCTAATTTTGATTTTCTAGACCTGTTTGACGTGAGCGGTCAAATATTAATCTTCTAAAAAAACGTTTCAGGACCTGGTTTGGTAACCGAGAAAATCCATTTTCGCCGTTATTTCGACAGATCATTTCGCTGTGTGTTCTCATATATGCACTGACGATGATTATTCTACCAATAGTGCTACTCACAATACTGAATTTGATGCTACTCTATGCACTCAGGAAACGACAGAAGAACTTAACGATGTCTGCCGATTTAAATGAGCGGTAAGAATGAAATACCTTAAAATAATTACCATCCATACGACGTTTTCTGAGCTTTTTCTCTGAGAGAAAAAAAACTTTGCAAAAATTCGTTTTACAAATATTTTCACTTAGCTTTGGATGGAAATGCCGTAATATTTCGGCCAATTACAACCAGTATTTTTGCCGCCCCTCTGGAACTAATCTTAAATGAAATGAAACCATTTGCTGAGATATTTGCAAAACTCTGGACCGCAGGTGTCTATGGTGGGTAACGAAAGCACTATTGTCCTTTCCGGGGAGTAGCGCGTTCACCACCACACCATGTGGGTCCTTTGTTTCGCCTGTCTCTCAACTATTTCTATCGATCTTTGCCACAGCAATCACCCGCCAGCGGGATTGATCTGGGGCGCCCAAATCGGCATAGAACCCAGTTAAGCTGCGGCTGTAGTTGAAATCACAATGTTATACCTTTTTATTTTCTGCCTGCTATAATAAGCAGGGTACTAAGCTACTACTAATGAAAAGGTATAACATTGTGATTTCAACTACAGCCGCAGCTTAACTGGGTTCTATGCCGATTTGGGCGCCCCAGATCAATCCCGCTGACGGGTGATTGCTGTGGCAAAGATCGATAGAAATAGCTGAGAGACAGGCGAAACAAAGGACCCGCATGGTGTGGTGGTGAACGCGCTACTCCCCGGAGAGGACAATAGTGCGTTCGTTACCCACCATAGACACCTGCGGTCCAGAGTTTTGCAAATATCTCAGCAATGTTGTGGTTGTATTTCGCTTAGTACCCTGCCGCGAAATTATAGTAGGCAGAAAATAAAAAGTATAACATTGTGAATTCATTTGGTTTTTACGCTTTTAGTTGCTAGCTACCACACATATCGATATGGTATGGTTCCACCTATGTTCTAACTGGCAGTTCCGTTCTACTCTATTTTCAAATCTATTTATACACGCTTTTCAAAAACCATCAGTGAAGAGCATTTATGTGCGTTAAGGTAGAATTTAAGCACCCATGGCCCCCAATGTCATATGTTATAACGAGGTATATTCCCGGACAAATCTGGTACCCCCAGACTGTTGCGAAGCCTGGTGGGCCTGATCGCTTTCGAACCATAATATTGCTCGTGCCGAGCAGTATCATTATTAGTATCCACTTTTCATAGTAAAAGACAAAAGATAAAGCTCTCGCGTTGATCAATTCCTGAAAGATGCGCCATGCATTCGACTTCACTAAGCATCGTTTGGAGGTGATTGAATACATACCTGGCCTTTACAATGACTCGCGGTAGCCTACCGTTGCATAGAGTCAGTGCTACTATCCTTCCAGACAAGTCTGGTACCAATTTGCCAACCCGGAAGGGATGGAAGGCTTGGTGGGCCATGGGAGCGGCGGTCGATTCTACATGTGTGTTGTAAGGAGCCCCCGACCATTGCGCCACACGCGACCTGCAGCACACACACTTTTCATAGTAGGTGAATAATTTCTTGTACTTACTGTATTCCTTTATATCTCATGTAAAATTCTACAACACTGACAAGTGGTTATAAAGGTATGAAGAAAATGTGTGACATGCCTTGAAACAAAATTATTCACAGTCGTCCAGCAGTTCGTCTGTTAACGGAAAGCCAAATGTTAAATTACTTTTTCCAACGTTGACCTTTTTCCAGCATTTTTTTGACAAAGGTTATTTATTCATTTAAAAGTTTACGACATTAGATGAAGGGCTAATAACTTTCCAAAAGGAGGAATTTATTGGAACACAGTCAAAGTCGTGATGAATTAGGATACTCACAGCACCCAGAGAAAAGCAAGGCAGATATTTTCGGATCCGTAGGGGACTGACAAGACAAATTGTCGAAATTTGTAATCGTTTGCAAACGATTTCAGGCGAAAAACCGCCGGTCAACTTCATCTCCAGAAGACGGAGCATCGTGTTACGCTAACGGTGGCTTTCATTGTCACAATGTTCACTCTTACGAACGGTCCTTCAGCTTTAATGCACCTCATACGCACTGCCTACGGCCTCAAACAACAAGAACTGTACGATCTGACGATGATTTGCAGGTCTGTTCGGTTGCTGTAAATCATTAGATCTACTTTTTCCATTATTGAAGGAGATTGTGAGCTTCAGATACCCAATAGTCCTCAAAGTACCCGAGCATAAAGCATAAATGCCAACTTCCAACAAATATAATGCATTTAAACTTCAATGATGCTGAGATATTTGCAAAACTCTGGAACTAGCTGAGATATAGGCGAAACGAGGGTCCCACATGGTGCGGTGGTGAACGCGTTACTCCCCGGAAAGGACAATAGCGCGTTCGTTTTCCACCGCAGACAGCTGCGGGCCGGAGTTTTGCAAATATCTCAGATTATAGAAGTTATATTTCGCAACATACCCTGCCGTTAAAAAGAATAGGCAGTAAAT